TGTCTTTTCTTGAAATTCATACTAGAAAGCTTGCTTTGGGTGGATTGAAGTTTCGGGTTGAGCTTTGGAAGGAAATTCTACTTCTCCTCAGTTCTTGGCCATTTTGAGTCAATTTTCAGGTAAGGGAATCTAGAATGTTTATTGTTTAGGTTACATGTGAGTTTAGAAACTCAATTGATGCATGAAAGTTGGGGATCCATGGTTGGATTGGAGAATTCGCTCATTTTTTGGGGTTTTTGGTGATTTTGATGATTGATATACATTGATATCTCCTAGGTGTATGCGTGACAATGCATTAGATGATTGATATACATTGATATCTGTCATGAGATGCATTTATTGCATGATTGTTAATATGATGAAGTGTGTGGTGTTTGGCTTCATGATTGGTAGATTGTATTTTATGCATGAGTAGTATTGGATAGAGTGTATGGTGTGACTCTATGAATATGATTGATAGTTGGATGATTGTGTAATATAGATTATTGTTATGTACTTGTATGATTGATTTTTGAACTCTAGTTTACCCTTCTGTTTCCATGTGGTGGGACTGCAATGATCATACTTGGTATGGGAGCAGATCAGGGATAGCTTAGAGTTGAGGTGACCGCTGGGAGACGAGGAGTTTGATCCTCATGTTAGAGTTACCATTTTGGGTAACGGTTTTGTTTGTGCTTGACCGGCACTAGAGAATATTATTTTTGGGATGACTGTACATATATGGTGTTCTATTTTGTATACAGAAATTGAGTTATTTTTATTCTTACCTATACTTGTATGTATGAGTTATCCAACTTAATATTTCTCTTAGTTTGCTAGTAGTAGTGCGATTCCACTAAGTGTAGAGACCATGGCGGGTCGTTACACATGTTGTTTCTAAGACTTGAATTGAATGTTTTTGGTGCATGGATGCTATCTTTTCCATTGGATGTGGGTTTTTTTTATGAGTTTCAAGTGTGGAGGTCCAAAAATGGTGAAAAACATGGTGTCTCTATCATCAAATGGCTGAGCCATTTTAAAGGACTGAGCCCTTTGGGGGCCGCGTGATAGAGGGGGATTTCTGGAACCAAAGGGCTGAGCCATTTTAAAGGGCTAAGCGCTTTTGAAATAGCTGAGCCGTTTAAATGGACTAAGCCCTTTGGGGGTCGTGTGTCAAAGAGGATCCCTAGAGGCAAAAGCGCTAAGCGGTTTGTTGTTTTCTAAATTAGACTTTGTTGTCTTCATGAAAGTTATAGCCTTGGATGTTAGCTTTCCAATAGTGTTGGAATCACCTAAAAAGGTGGTCAGAACTCTAGTTATGGTTGTTTTAGTGAACAGGGATCAAGCTATCAACATTGATCATATCTGTTGCGATTTTTGACATTTTTAGCTAAGTAGATTAACTTTTTTAGAATTTTGTCTTCATAGGAGTTGTAGTTTATTCTCTTATGTTTATTTTGAGATAGGTTTGAGCTTATTTGGATGAGTATAAATTTTTGTGTGTGTTTGCTCTAACAGTTTTCGAAGGGAGATGCATGTTGTTTTGATGTTCTAAGGTGTTATCATGTGAATTAAAAAGTTGTATGATACTATGTTGTATATTTAGTTCAAATATGTATGTTATATATGATGTAAATTGATGCTTGATTAATATGCATGCTTGGTAATGATATATATGAATGTTTAAGCATGATATGATATGTATGTATGTTTATATGAGGATGATATTGATCATAGTGGTGGATTGACCATATATGTTGTAAGATGCATTGTTACATGTGATGCCTTATAACATAAGTCTAGCTTAAGACTTAAGGAGGGGGAAATGTTTTCGAACTTGAAGAGCTCACTTAGAGTCTCTTGAGAGTAGTGCTTGGATAGGCCACTAGTTTGGATGAGAGTGGTACTTGGATATGCCACTAATTTTGGGTGAGAGTGGTGCTTAGATAGGTCACTGGTTTGGGTGAGTTTTCTCTAAGTTCTTAGCTAGTGTTAGAGCGGGATATGAGGTAAAGGGTTATTCCCTTAACCAAGTACTGGGGAAGGTGCGTGGTTCCTTGTGGATAGTCGGTGGACGAACTCCTCAAGTAACTTGGCAATGCATGTCAAGGTCATGATAAGTTTGTACCCAGTTGTGTTATACCTGACGATGGAACCAGACTTTTAAGTGTGTAAGTGTCATTAGCCGAGTAAACCAAAGTGAGGATTAATATCCCAATTTGCTGTGATTGAGTGGGCGCATTGGGCATTAAAATGGTTGGGGTGATTTCGGTAAGATGAAATTTCATTTATACTACTCTATTGTTAGAGAGATCTTCTAGGTGAATGCATGACGACACATTAGATGATTGATATGCATTAATATCTTTCATGAGTTGCATTTATTGCATGAGTAGTGTATGATATAGTGTATGGTGTGACTCTATGAGAATGATTGGTGATTTGATGATGGTGTAGCATAAATGTTTATTCTTATGCTTACATGATTGATTATTGAACTCTAGCTTAACCTTTTATTTCCATGTAGATGGACTGCGATAATCATACTATGTGTGGGAGCAGGTCAGGATTAGGTTAGAGTTGGTATTTTTGTGATCGCTGCGGGATGTGAAATTTTGTCCTAGTATCATAGTTACCATCTTGGATAATTGTTTGATTGTACTTGACCGGCACTGGGAGAGTATTACATTTTGAGCATAGAAATGTAATTTATTATTACTTTTATATACATGTATGCATTTAGTTATTCAGTTTAATATCTTCTCTTAATTCACTAGTGTAATCAATTCCACTAAGTATAATGACCATGGTAGGTCGTTATAATTTTAAACAAATGTTTTTTTATTAATTAAAAAAATGGTGAACACACTTTACAAAATAAAATTATGCTTTCAACATATAAATTAATATTTTTCTTAAAAACGAAATTTGCTCCTATTATACTTGATAGAAAATTGGTGCAAATTGACTTTAAGGATATTTAAATATTAATCATTAATTTTAACAATGTAAATAGGTCTGTGCCTTCGTAGCATAAACAACTTCTATTTAAGTTGGTGTTCTCTCTATTTATTGATTTTTGTTTATTTTAATTTAATTGTCATTTTATAATATAAATGAAGTATTAAATATATATATATATATATATATATTTAATACTTCAAGGTTTTCCCCCATTTTTTTAATATGTAATAAAATTGCTTAAAAAAATTTTGTTCCCCTAAAATTTATAAATAAAAAAAATATTATAGATTAATAGTTAAAAATTATTATATTAGTTTACACTAAAAATAAATAAAATATAAATATATAAAATTGATATACAGATATAAAATAAAATAAAATATAAATAATAATAAACTATTTATGATATTAAGATATTTCTATGTAAGAGTTAAAAAAATTCGACGTGTCAAATTAATTTGTAGCTTTGCGATGTATGTATTTATATATATATATATATATAAAGAGAGATAGCCACGAGTATTGTGGTGTTTCCTATATCTTGAGCTAGCCGTGGTCGAAATTTTGTGAGCAGTGCTTAGGTATCTTGATTCCCAATCAAAAGTATTGTGAGTAATCGAAAGGGTGATGAATGCAGTCTTTCTTTCATCTGGTGGGTACATGGGTATCTGATTATACCCTGAGTATGCGTCGAGGAAACTCAATCTTTGATGGCCTGCCGCTCCGTCAACCAATGCGTCTATGTGGGGTAGGGGATAAGCATCTTTTGGGCATGTCTTATTTAGATCGGTGTAGTCGGTGCACATTCGCCACTTGCCGTTTGCCTTCTTGACCATTACCACATTGGCCAACCAAGTAGAGTACTTAACTTCCCTGATGAACCCTGCTTGAAGTAGCTTGGTTGTCTCTTTTCTTACCGCCTGAGCCCTTTCCCCTCCCATCTTTCTTTTCTTTTGAGTGATGGGTTTGGCGTCTCGGCACACTAAGAGCTGGTGGCAGTGGAAGCTTGGGTCGATGCCTGGCATGTCGGCCCCCGTCCAGGCAAATAGATCCGAGTACTTTACGAGGATTTGCTTGATATCTCTCGCTTTGGCCTCCAACAATTGGGAACTCAAGTAAGTGACTTGTTCTTTATTTCTCCCTAGTTGAAACGGGATTGTTGTCTCTATTGGTTCGACCCTATGCTCGTCTTCAATTCTCGGGTCGAGCTCTAGGTCTAGGATCGGCCCTTCTTGACAGACATCGACGATGACATTGACATCTCGCCTTGGCTTTGGAGTTGGCTGTACTTTTAGGCTGGCGAAGTAACATTCGCGGGCCGTCTTTTGGTCGGCGTGTAGAGTGATAATTGTTCCTTCTTCGGAGGGAAACTTCATAGCTAGGTGAGGGGTGGAGACAATAGCTCGGAGCTCGTTCAAAGAGGGTCGACCCAATAGGATGTTGTACGAGGTATTAGCGTGCACCACCACATATCATACTTTAACCCTTCGTCTTTGTTGTTCGTCCCCGAAGTAGGTGTATAAGTCTATCGTTCCCCGGGTGTTCACTCGTTTGCCCGAAAATCTGACTAAGGGCTCGTTGTAAGGTGCCAACTCGCGCTCGGGTATACCCAGTTGTTCGAAAGTTTTCCAATACAAGATATCGGCTGAACTTCCCTGATCCACCAGTGTCTTCTTCACAATACAATTGTTAATCTCTATAATGATGACCATAGGGTCGTCTTGCACTGGATCGACCCCCTGGAAGTCCTTGTCGGTGAAGGTGATTGGTGGCATGTGGACTGACCCTGCTCTTGTTACTGCGCTGACCAATCTGATTGCTCTTAGGTGTCTTCTTCGTGCCGAGGATGTGCCCCTGCCTCCTACGAATCCTCCAGCTATTGTGTTTATCACCCTTCTGGGTTGATTTTGGTCTCGCTGTGGATCGTTTCTCTCCTGAGACTTGCTCCTACCCGAAGGTTGGGTGAATTTTTGAAGGTGGCCTGACTTAACGAGATCTTCAATACGATCTCGGAGGGTTGTGCATTCCTCAGTGGTATGTCCCCTGTTCTTGTGAAACTAGCAAGTTTTGGTCCTATCCGCGTGGGGTGGAGTCATAGCACGGCAGGGCACTGTGAGGATTTCTGTGGCCAAGGCCTGCTCCAACACCTTGGTCCTGTTGGTGTTGAGCGGCGTGTATTGTGCATATCTGGGTCCCCTATTGTTCCTCTCTCGATTGAGTGCGTCTCGGGGACGAGACCTTAGAGGGTGCTTTTTTTCAGCTTCTTTCTTTTCGAGGAAGAGGTCAGACCGGCTCTGATTGCTGAACTCGACCAACTCTTCCATCTGCATGTACTTAGTGGCTCTCTGCCTTAGGTCGTCCAGGTCTCGGGGCGACTTTTTACATAGGTTGTTTACAAAGGGGCCTGGCCTTAATGTCGTAGTGAGGTGGTGCATTGCCACCGCTGGGTCTAGATCTCGGATAGACATGGTCATCTTCCCGAATCGCTCCATGAAAGTTCTTAGAGGTTCCTTCTTTTCCTGGTGGATATTGACCAGTGCAATCGAGGTGAGCTGATGGGGTCTGCTCGTGGCAAACTGTATTACGAATCGAGAGGACAAGGTTGTGAAGGAGTCCACCGATCCTGGGGCGAGTCTTGTGAACCAACTAAGTGTCTGTCCTTTTAATGAGGTAGGAAAATCTTTACACATGATAGCGTCATCGTCGGTATATAACCCGACTTGAGTAACGAAGGCATCAAGGTGTTCTTTGGGATCAGCAGTTCCGTCATACCTTTCTAAGGCCAAGTTTTTCCAGTTGTCTAGCAACTGGGCTCCGGCGATGTCCGGAGTGAATGGTGTCTTCCCTTGTCATCATTGCTGATCCATGGTCGTTTTCGTCACTCTGCCAGGTGGCCGGGGGATCTTTGTCTCTTTGTACCATCCCAACGATTCCCCTTGGTCATGCGTTGACTGAGTATTGGGGGTGTCGCGGGATGGATGCCGGGATCGGTTATCGCTCCTAAGCTCCGCATTTTCCTTCCTCAGGACCGACAGTTCGTGTGCGTCCTTCTCCCGAAGTCTTTTCAATTCCAACATCTCGGCCTTCAGCTGTTCTATGGCCGACGGTGGGTTGGGAGGTTGAGATCGATCCACATATGACTCCTTCATTCCTTCTTCGTTTTGATTTGTCTGCTATCTCAATTCTCGGGGCATCCCGAGGTTATGAAGTGATGTGTTTTCTTGCTGACTCCTAGTTGCTACCATCTTCCTTTAGGCTCGAGAACCGTTTCAATTTCGGCCCCACAGTGGGCGCCCAAAATGTTCCTGCTTAGAAACACTCTTCTTGTTGCTCCTCCTTCATGATCTTCTAAGTCTTTGGTGTCAACCGAATACTATCTCCAAAGGTGGGGAGGGTACCTGCAAAGGCACTCCGATGCTCAAATAAGTGTTCGGTATAGAGCAATAAAGGCTTTTATACTAGATAAATCATAACTCTTTTCTGTCCCATCACCTGTGTATTTATAGTGATGTATCTGGGCCTGGTGGCCCTTCTGTCTTGGGAGATGGGTAATACCTTGGTTAACCTTGATCTCCCTTAATTAAACACGATAAACATTGTGTAATGGATATCCTAACTTGCCATATGTTCCATGTGGGTTGACACACTTTGGGTCTTCGGCCAAGCCTTTAGCAGAAGAGGTGTTCGGTTGTTTTCACGACCGAGGGGGTATTCGATCATTCTGAAGGCTGGAGGGAGGCTCGGCCAAGCTTGAGGCCGAAGGGGTATTTGGCCAAGTTCAAGGCCGAAGGGGTGTTCGGTCATGTTCAAAGTTGAAGGGTGTTGGATCGAGCGCTTACCATTAGGCCAAAAGCTATAGCTGATAGTCAGGGCACAACTCTTTTTACTTAAGAGCGTAGCAGCCCAAGCGCCATGATTCGACAGTGACTTGGCCCACCTAGCCTCCGCCACGGGACAATTGATGCAACCCGCAACAATCTCCCCCTCAGCAATTGCCCCGCTGGGTATCGAACTCATGACCTTGGCTCTGATACCAATTGTTGGATCGAGCGCTTACCATTAGGCCAAAAGCTATAGCTGATAGTCAGGGCGCAACTCTTTTTACTTAAGAGCG